GTGAGTGAGTGAGTGTGTGTGTGTGTGTGTGTGTGCGTGTGTGTGTGTATGTGTCTGTGTGTGTGTGTGTCTGTGTGTGTGTATTTAAATGCGTATGGGTGTGTGTATGTGTGTGTGTATGTGTGTGTGTATGTGTGTGCATCCCCTAAACCTCACACCATTGAAGGAAAAAGCTAAGCAATGCTAAGCAACACCACGCAGTCGTCTATCGCTCTCCAATGTCGGACAGAATTCCCTATCTATTCACGACGCTCCACGGACCGAGCAGAAGGAAAGGAAGTCACGACGCGATTAAAACAGGCGCTCGTCAATTTTTGGACATGTACAGTTATTTTTATCATCTTCAAGGTTGTTTCTTTGTCTTGCTTTCTATGAAAAAAATACTCATAGAAGTCCAGATATATACGTTTGAAGGAGATTGGGGGGGGGGGGGGGGGGGGGGGGGGTAGTCTGGTCAAATTAGTTAGGAACCCCATAGCCTGAAAGTCTTTGGAAACTAAAAATTGAGATCTTTTGTGCCTTTAATTAATGTTTTTAAGTAAAATCCACCAAAAGTCGTTTTTAAATGGGCAGAAAAGGTGTTGAGCCAAAATTAGGAAAGTAAAATATAAAAAAATGCCCATCGGCCAAAAAAATGCCGATTTCTTTGATTTCATTATATTGACGAGCGCCTGATTTCCCTACGATGCCTCACACATAGAGCCGCCGGGACCAGGGCAACCCGATGTCGACTGTTTGGATCGACATCGATGGTGACGTCACCCGACAAGTTGGAACAGTTGTTTAGTTTTAGTAGCAGTGTTTTACGGCACTTGCAACACAATAAGGTCATATAAGTGCCAAAGATCAGAGGTGTTACAAGAGAGTAACAAACTCAAAAATGTAGGAGAGATAAGGACGATTGATGTTTGATAGGATAGAAGAAGCAAACCACACCAGAGCACCCGCCAACCTCCCCTTGGGACATTTCATTAGTTATGTCGGAGGGATCACTAAAGACAGTGAAATGAAATAGAAGCAGCAGAAATGTGGTTTCTTCGGAGACTGCTGGGAGTATCGTGGAAGGAAAAGACATTAAATGAGGTAGGGCTTGATGAAGCCCACGTGGGACGCTCAATGTTAAAAACAATCAGGAAACGACAAATGCAGTTTTTGGGACACATAAATAGACATAAGG